AGAGCTAATACAACAATGAGAAGGAAACAATGAATTTGTCCAAAAAAAGAAGCCTATTAAGTATGTACAGACAGAGAATTGTAGAAAAAAAGTTTTTTTTAAAATATCAGGAAAGGTTCTATCTGATACTCACAGGGAATAATCTGCTCAAAATTCATCCAAATCTCTAGTTTTACACAAACATTCTGCAGTTATTGCATTCAGTATTTGTGCTAATTCTGTTATCTGTTAATTGTTATCAGGTGTTCTGTACTGCTACTCATAGTAAATATCCATGAACTTAATCAGGGGTCGCCTGTTTAATCAATTATAGAAAAGGAGTCCTTTAAAGAAAAGGTTGGGAACCACTGATCTGCTTATACTGTAATGAGAAGTGATGGCAATCTAATTGATACAGTCTGGCATAATGGAACACATGCATCCCAATACTGTCACAGTATTGTCACGTACTGCAAACACTGTATAGAGGTTACAGCTCGAGGGGCCAGTTAGCACAGAGATGTAGCTGTAACTGCTTGTCATGACACATAATGCCTCTAAACCTGCCTGTGATTATGTAGAACATGTAAATAATAAATATGAATAATAATTAATTAAACCCTCAAACAGTATATTTTAATGAACTGGAGTTGTTGTTTACAAGGTGGTGATTTACGCTTCACTAAATTAGAACTTTCTTAATTTTTGCTCAATGTTAAAACCATGCTGCCAGCTTTAGCCAACGGATGCGTATAACTATAGACTAGTTAATATTAGCTTGCTTACAAACACGACATAGCTCATATTACAAGCTATGATCTACTATGATCACCAAATGCTGTCAGTTAGGTTATCTTTATCAGATGTTTCCTTCTCACTGGGACCTGTATGAATCCTAACCCTGAAACATATTTCTCAAAGCTACATCGAGGATTGTCGGTTAACTAGCTGTAGCTTGTGATGCTACATGTAACTTCCTGTTTACATTACCAATACAACTTAGTATTAGTATTAATAATACTAGTTAGCAGCTAATTAAGAAACAAGGAGAGACTTTACATGCAAACGTAGTAATGGCTTTACAAATAGCTGGCGAAACCCAATCCTGTTGCTTAAATTGACCCCCTGACTTAAAGACCAATCTATAATGTGATTATTTATGTTGCAACATCCTACATTTACATTTTAGGCATGTTCTGTCGCTTTCATCTTTCCGCAAGAGCCATAAGTGGGTCTCCTGCTAAGTGCACTAGATAGGATCTTGGCCACTGATTTACTGTAAGTCCTGTTATAGGATGGCTGGAGAGGCCTGGGGCTGTCTTTGCTGCACTGGTGCCATCTCAGTTTTTTAGACATTTTGCTCCGCTTGCTGGGCCTTGGCTAGCTCTCAGCACTGCCACGGAGTAAAGAGATAAGCTGAGGAGGAGGAAGATTTAAAAATGAACGGAAAGAAATCGCACAGTGAATGATGTGTGATGGAGAGCACGATGCTTAATTGTATGAGTGAATTAAAAGCTTGTTTGGACCGGCCACATTAGAGTAGATTACACCCTTTCATCCTCTCCTCTCCTCTCTTCACATCTTTTCTCTCTTTTTGTGTGTGTGTGTTTTTTTTTTGTTTTTTT